CTCTTGAGTCTCAGCAGGAAGGACAACAATTGGTGGCCTGGGAAATACAAACCCAAAAGCCACTGAGTTCTGTCTGCACATCTGGAATTGGGGTTTGATTCTGCTCCACTGGGCTGGGTGGGTGGAGGTGGTGGGACTAATAGGACAGCAAGCATTTGTCCTTTTGTGGTGACTGGCCAAGGAGGAGTTAAAATCTCCTGGAAATCTGGAAAGAGTGGAGAGGAATCACTATGTTCAGCCACAGGTAGTCTAAAATCTGATGCAAGGCTTAAGATTTGATGTTGTGAACAAGATCTGGCCAGCTCAAGGGCTTCAAAGGATGCTGTTGCAACACAGAAGCAACTAACCACGGGAAAATCCTTTTCCATGTCATGGTTCATCCTGATCTTGGACAGATATCAGTATGATCCTTGGGATCTGATATTTAATAAGTCTTTTGAAGCCTTGTTACCATCACCTACAGCAGCTCTGGAAAACCTTGGTATCAAATGTTGCAGAAATATCAGAAATATCTTCTAAAATATCTCGCTTAGGGCCAGTAGGGGTTGGATGCTTCAACATAGAAACTTCCTGGTTATAAATTGTGCATCTGTGAAAAGACTTTTAATAAGTTTTTTGTCTGGCAGTTGCATTTACTATGCATTGGCTGGTACATTAGGAAACTTCTAGCCTGGACTAATATACTAATATACTCTTAAAATTATTGCTCCCTCATATTAGTAAGCAAGAAAGTGGACTGGATGCCACTCTGTGAAGGTCTATATATATAATTTTTCTTCAGTTTTCAGGTGAACAAGGTTTCTGGTTCTGAGATGACAGAATCATCTTGAATTTGCTCCTTGGAATGTTTTGCTAGGTGTGAATTTGTGGCATCAGTGATCTTACGGAGCTCTGTCTCGGCGAGGGAATCATTTCACCAGGGGGAGGGGAAGAATGCCATGTGAGAAAATGAGAGTGAGTTTCCTAATTCCACCTGGCAGAGGTCTGATTTGGATGGAAGTGCTTGGGAAATGCAGCAGGGGTTGACTGGTAGGGCCCAGTCTGTAGGGTTGGGGTTACATGACAAAATTTAGGTGGAATTCATGTGCTGTTAGGAAAGTTATGCAGAGCTGGTGTCCAATCCTAATGGTCTGGGAAACCTTTGGCCAGGTGGGAGTTAAGAACTGAGTCCAAAATTCAGGACTGAGTGCCTTCACTATGGTCTTGGACCCCATCCTTGATTTCTTTTCCCTAAGTTTAATAAAAATTGAAGTAATATTCTCTCCTGGTGGCCTCTCACCTGAGAACTTGGTGATGCAGAGACTCTACAGCACCTTGTGTGGCTCCCCAATTCCTCCCTGTCCCCTCTGCTATTGTAATACACCAACTACAGCAACTAAATATTCATAATTAGCCTCCAACAGGCTTTAAATAGACCAGAGGCAGCTTCCTTCCTCATAAAGTTTTTTCCCAACAGATTTTCAGGTTTTTTTCCCTACTAATTTTGCAATTTTTAATGCAAAAAAAAAAAAAAAAGGTAGCCTATTAACACCATCCTGTAAAATTAAGTCACATTCTGGGCCAGGGGCAGCAGCCTCTTCCTTGCTGTATAGATAATTTCCTATATTGACTATGTTTTCCCTTCCTACTTTGCTACAATTGTTTTGGACAGCAAAATTTCTGTCATTTTGTGCCAGCAGTGAACAAAACCTTTCATTCCATTAAACTGTAGTCCAGAATTACAACCACCTATTTTGGGAATAGCCATTCTTGGGCGGGGGGGAGGGGGGAAGATTCTGATCCATTTTATTTTGTCCTTCAGTACTTAAAAGTGGTAGGTGTGCACACTGCATGTCGAGTGGGCTCAGAAAACGGTATAAATGTTTGGAGATGACTTGCTTTACCAAGTACCAAAGATATCTCTTTATTAGAGCTCCGGAACAATGTGTAGAAATATAGATATGACTACTCTTGTGGGTAGAAGAAAGGGTGAAATGAAAGAAAGACTATTTTAGCTATTTAGTTAGAAAATACTTTCCTTCATCTCCCTCCTCAAATAGTTGATTTCTTGGCAAAAATAGCACCCAGCATGTTTTGACTGAAATGGAAATATTTCAGTCTGGAGGGAAGTTATTGCGATACCTCCTGGGAACTGCTGGTTGGAAACTTGGTGTCTCCAACCTGTTGCCTCTCCAGAGTGACTCCCAGCTCCTGCCGTGTCCTGCACAATGCCACAGTCCTCTCTGACAGCCACGGAGGCTGCTGTGTTCCCTGGAAAAGGAAGGAGAGGAATTTGGTTCCCAGTGCGCAAGGAGTGGGATCCTGACACCACCTGTGCCCTGGTACCTGGAATAAAGATATTGCTCTTCCAGGCAAACAGCTTCTTTATGGGAAGAAAGCAGTTGAGGTTCAGCTCAGACATGAGGAAGAATTTCTTCACTGAGAGGGTGGTCAGGCATTGGAAGGGGCTGTCCATGGAATTGGTGGAGTCTCCATCACTGGAGGTGTTCAAGGCACTCAGTGCTCTGGTGGTTGACAAGGTCGGGATGGGGTACAGGTTGGACTCGATGATCTTGAAGGTCTCTTCTGACCTCAGGGGTTCTGTGAAAATATATTTTTATCAAGAAAAAAACCAATTGGGTTGTTATTTTTTATTTTCCCCTCTCAGCTCATCATTGAAAAAGTGCTAATTTAGGTGAGAAGCATCTGGGATGGGGGTGGTTTCTTGCTCTTTGTGTGGTGCTTTGCACAGTGAGGGTCTGGTACTGATGGGGTCCCTCTGAGCTACTGAGAGAATTTATGGTTTACTGTGCAGATCTAACCCCATGTTCCAAAGAGACATCCAGTTCTTCCCCCCATGAAGCAGGGGGAGATGGTAAAAGCAGTCATCTCTGCCTCCTCCAAAAAACCCACAGAGAACATGGTGTGGCATCATGCCATGGCATGTCCTTTCTTCTCCTCCAGTGTAGCTCACAGATACCTCACTGGGGGAAAAAGTGGGGCTCTGTCATTTATTTGAGACTTGGATGTTGGTGGTGTTGGAGCTGAGGAAGAAGGAACCAGCCAATCCATGCAGCACCTTCTCATCAGGGATTAAAGTTAAGGCCATGCTCCACGTGTCACCTCCTTGTGGATTGTCTCCTTAGAAGGGAAACATGGTGGGGATGCAGCTCTGGGGTGTCATGTTGGTTCTGTTTCCATAAGGATCGCTGTGTGAAGTGTAACAGGAGCAGCTCAAAGCCATAACCTGGGAGATCCTCTGGAACCCCGAAGATCTGAGGGTCACCTGTGAGGTTTGGTGGCCGTGGCTGTCGACCTTCCCGAGAAGCCACCAAAGCTGCCCTCCAGCAAGAGCTCCTGGGGTGGAGATTTAAGTGCTGGGTGTCCACAGGCAGGTCCTGTGAAGCCCACCCCATACCCTGGCATCCACTGTTGTCTTGTGTATCCAAGGGATAAGTCTCTGCTTCCTCCCAGTCCATCTCTCTTTTGTTCCTCGTTCACAGCCTGGACTTCGGTTCTGGGAAAAAACTGCCTGACCAGCCAGCCCAAGTGGGTGGGAAGCCATGCTCCTGCTGGGAGGAGCTGCTGGGCTGCCAGGGGATGAAACCCCACCTTTGGAATAGGCTTTCCTTGGCAAGCCACCAGTGCCCGGGGTTTGGAAAGCTTTCATGGCACAATGAGAGACACATTTATTTGGTTTTGAGCTCCTGGGTGAGTTTCCCCTCCATTACAGCTCGGTTGCTGATGTTTCTGGCAGCCACCACAGCAGTGGTTTGGATGAAAGCTCCCTGCTGTGAGGAGGTTTATATAATTGCCATTGTTAAATTTTGTAAATAAGTTCTGAACTCTACAGCAATAGGTCCTCTCTAAGGGGTGTAATCGGAGTATCAGGGCTCTTCCTCTTCATATAACTGGCCAGGTGAGCCTGGTGATGGGATTTAAGGATCTGTCCTTACTCTAGCATAAGGATTTTGGTCAGGTGGGTAGGGTACCTCACAGCCAGCTTGGTCCAGTGGTTACAGCCTCAAATAAGAAACCTTGTGCTGGAATCTGGGCTCTGGTTTGTGGCTGCTCTGAGCCAGGTGACACTTTGGGAGGTGCTGCTGTACTACCTGATCTTTATGCTTTTTTGCAGGTCTTTGTGTTCAGGGAACACCCAGCTGTTTTGGAGACAGCCCAGGAGGAGGTTTGTACCTCTCCTGAAGGCTCTGAAACCTCCCACTCAGCTTCAGTTCTTCCCCCTGCAGAGCAGGAATGATCTTGTCCAGTCACACTGTTGATGTGCTCAGAGAAATGTCTCCAAAACAAACTGTAGGGTCTTGGAGAGGAGGGGATTTCCAAGCATCCCTGCTTCAAACCAGAGCTCAGAGCAAGGGAACAATCCAGCCTTGCCATTAGGGTTCACCCTCCCAGCCTGGCTCTGCCAAGGCTGTGGCTCTGCTGTGCATCAAATCTCGGTGATTTATTTATTCCTCTTTTCTGAGCACTCTGGAGTGGAGCTTGTTCTGTGGTCCAGGGATCCCCTATCCAGGACAATGAAGCTGAGAGACCCTGGGGGAAAGGAATGGGGGCAACTACCATAAGGAGAAAAAAATAGATCTAAATATTTAATCCATCTCCAAGTCAACTTGGCAGAAATGAGGTTTTTATTTACATGCATGTGCACATCTGCATATACATTATAAACAGTATGGAGTTTATAAACCCTATAAGATGTAGAAATAAATCTTGTGTGTTTTGCTATCACTGCATCTATCTATTTCAAGTAAAGATGTAAAATAGCAGTTGTAGTGGAAGAGGCTCAAATCTAAAGGGAAAGGTACTAAAAGGGAAGGGAATAACGAGTGCTGCGTGGATAAAGTGTGACAGGGCTGCAGTCTCCTGAGAGGGATGTTTCTATTTCCCTGAAAGCCTAAACAAACACTATGACACTAATGTGCTGCCTTCATTTATTAATCCACTGATCTATTTATTAATTGATTGCTTTCCCGACTTTTTATTTTTCATTTCTTTGCTTTCAGTAAAGAGTACCCGGTTGTCCCCCGGAGCACAGTGAGACAAAAAGTGTCCTCGAATCACAGCCCGTTCAGTGGTGAGACCAGGGTCCTTTCCACCTCCTCCAACCTGGGCTCCCAGTACCAGTGTGAGAACGGCGTGTCCAGCACCTCCCAGGACCTGATACCGCCTGCCAACCCCTACCCGATCTCCCAGGAGCACAGCCAGATCTACCACTGCACCAAGAGAAAAGGTCAGACCTTGGCTGCTCCCTGCTCTGTGCTTTCCCCCTCCTAACGTGACTGTCAGCCTGGTTTCCTGATCCTTGTCCCGGCCTGCCTTGCAGTGACACTGGGAGATGACTGAGGGATGAGGGTTGTGTGCTGGAGGTGGGCTGGGAGACTCCCCTCACCCTCATTAGCCTAAAATTCCATCCCCACCGCTGGGCTGGGAGCTGGGCTGGGCTGCTTGGAGGGGTGGCAGTGCCTTTCACCCACCGTGAATCCACATTTGGAAAGATAGCTGGTGCCAGAGATAAAGATGACTTATCTGTCTCCATAGCCCTTCAGACAGGGTTAATCTCCAAGTGGAGATGCCTTGACACTTTGCATTTTGCACAGTTTTCAGCTCAGGGTCTCACAGCTGGGAGAGGGCTTTCTGTCTGCAGAGAGAAATTCCACTCAAATGCCCGTTCTAATGAACGGTGCCTGGGATTGAAAATCATGATATCCATGTTCCTTCCCCTCTGGTGCGACTGACCTGCTTTGACAGAGCTGGAGGGATCAAACTGTGAGGGCTTTACACTGACTGCTCAGCTCGTCCTGGCGTGAAGAGCCCCATGATAGCGATGGGATAATGGTTTTGGGCAGGAGCGAATGGTTTGTGGTCTTCTCCCTCCCTCTCCCAAAGCAACGGGAATGCTTAGATGCAAAAACACTTGCAGGGCTGAGGTAGCAAAAGCCCCAGATCAGCTCTACTGCAGGTACTCAGAAGAAAAGAGGGAATTTCCAGGGCTTAATGCGACAAGGAGCGACAGGAGATGGTTACTGCTGACCCCTATTCCCTTTTCTCAGGGGTTAGTCTACGTTGCACTGGAAAAGCTCACAGAAGTCAGCAAGTACCATGGCATTTGAGTGCACCAAGAATTTCTCCAGCCTGGTAGCCTCTCCCCACAGCAGATCCCTTCCTGCTTCCCTGCATGGTCCTATCAGTCAGACACATGTCATTATTTTTAGTAACGTAACCCTGGGGCACGGGGATGTGCAGACACACAGTCTAAGGTAGTGGATGCTGGGAAGTGCTGGCAGAGGAGGCAGGAGGGCAGTGGCAATCTCTCTCATGTCCTTGGTGAATCTCATGAATGTTGTAAGAGCATGTGTGCTGTGTGCAGCTTTATGTGTAAAACTAGAGAAGTTGAGATATTCTGAGTCTGAGCTAAACGCTGGAAAACAGAGGTGTCATTTTCTGCCCCCTCCAGCTGACCAGCTGACCCTTGTGGTCACAGAGTGTGTTGGAGCTGGGATTGGAAATGGTGATGCGAGACTTGAGCTAGATGTAGGGTAGGGAATAAGGAGAAGCAGAATGTCCCCTATGTCAGAGGTGGGGTCGGTGACCTGTCTTACCCCTTTACTGATGGGTGTGAGGTGCTGGGATACAGCTGGGTTGCTGCAAAACCCCACTGTTCATGACGGAAGGTCCCACTCACCCTTGGCATCCCTCAGCCTGTGATCCATCCCCAGTGCTCCTTTGCCCTGGGAGCTGAGCTTCCACCGCCCCTCTTCCCCTTTGCAAACCCTAACCAAAACAAGCTGCCCCAAATGGCAACAAACCCTTTGGACAATCTCCGAGTGCTGCGTGTCCCCGCACCGCAGGGCAATTCATCATTCGCCTCCGCATTGTAACGCGATAAGGAATCAACAGAGGTTTCCTTCCAGTTTTGGGATTCCCGCTAAGTGGTGTCTCCATGGGTGGTTTCCCTCAATCCCCCAATTATCTCACTTCCTCTTATTGTCACAGAAGAGACGACTATCTGCCCTGTAATAAGCTCCCCGGCCCCTTTTGGCCCTTGCGAAAGTGCAGGAGACTGGCAAAGGGAGCCCTTGTCTGCGCGGCCCGATGGCCCATCAGCCCCCTCATTATCTCCGCGATGGCTTGAGTGGCACAAGCAGTTAAGGGCCTTTTATCAAAGCCGCCAAATGCTTTAATCAAAGAGAAGCAGCGTCCTGTCCGATACCACCGGCTTCTTCCGTGGAGCTGTTCGTCTGGGCAGCCTGAGTCTCTCTTTTCCTCCTTGCGCCTTTCACCCCTCCCTCTCCTTTCCTCGTGCATCCAGTAAATCGAAAACAGCCACTAGGGCTTAAAGAAAAGAAACACAAAGTTAATGGGAAACAGAGAGTCAGTGTAAGCTGCCAAGCAGCTCTTTGCAAAGTGAAATTAATTAAAAAAAAAAAAAAAAGTCACTAGAGATGAGCAATTCTGTTTGGATAAATCAGAACGTGATCCAAGGTTTCGTCTCAGACTCTGACTGAGTGCTGCACTTCCTTCTAGCACCAAGCAAGGATCTTTGTTGAACTTGGGAAAATAACCCTACATACGATCTTCCTCTTTTTTTTTCCTTTTCCAGCCTCTCATTTCTGAGCTTTCCCTCGTAGTTTTCCTACCATTCTGCATAACTCCTACCAAGCCTCACCATCTAAGAAAACCTGAAAGCAAGACTGTGTTTGCTCCTATTGCCCCTCTGTCCATTTTCTGGACTGGAAGTCTTATTGATTTTGTTGGATTATCTACTCCCCAAACACTGACTCCTCCTCAGTCAGTTCAGGATTTATCTCAAGCGGATTATTTCCTTTTTGCAAGGCAGTGGTTGTGGATAAATGCTCTTAGGGGCAGAGGGCAATTCAGCTGGGTTTGAGACCAGCTCGTGTCTTCATCTTCTGTACTAAATTCCACCACTGTTTACCAAGAGAGTCTCTCTTTGGAGGTCCTTCCATCTTGGACATCTCATGAGGTTTCTCTGTATCCTTTTCAGTTGGGGTGAAGCCTCGGTTTGGGCTCAGTTAAGAACAGGTCTATGTTCAGGCAACTCAAAGGAACCTTATTCAACTTTTACTTCCTTGGTGACCTCAGACAAGGCTTGTGCTCTGTGGTTGACAGTGTTGTTTTTAGCTGTCAAGTCAAGATGGATTCACTGTGGAGATCTGATAAGGAGCTGCATTAGGGGAGAGCAGCAGGGCTGTGAGGGGATGTAATCTCTGCAGGCTCCTCTGGTTCAGGGAGATGATGCTCTCCTGGGTGAGGAAGGAAGGAAGGACACATCCCAGAGCTTCAAATCTGGCGATTACTGGTGTGCAGGTGGGAGTGCAGGGTCACAGCATTGGGAATGACCCGTGTGTGCTGCAACAAGGTCTCTGCTCCAGTCACAGGGAACGATAAGAATCATCCTGTGTTGTATCCCAGCTCCATGTTGAGATTGCTTATGGCACTGGATTAACTCCAGTCCTGTATTCTACTCAGGAGTGGCCTCAGTTCTTGAGGTGGATTTTCAGGCTGCAACAAAGACCAGTTAGAGCTTTGTCTTTCTCCTAGTTGTTCTCCACCTCTCCCTCTCTCCTTCTTGTGCTTGGAGGAGCACAAAAAGACTTACCAGCAGGCAGCTTGGTTTGTGTCTTTCATTCGGCCCCACATCACAGTTAGGGTGTTGGGGCTTGTTTTCCCTTGTATTATCCTCTCCCTCAGATTTCCTGCGGATTAAATAGTCATCCCTCTAAACCTCTGCTCCCTCCCAGCCTTACACAATCTCAACCACTTGGCAGATTTCTGGGATGCTTGTGATGCTGGACAGGAGGCAACTGGAACAGCCTCTCCCCGGGGAGGTTATAAAAGTTGTCATGTTGGCATTCTGAGGGAGCAGAGGGATGTGGCAGAATCCACCGGCTCCAACCGGCAAGGACCGTATCCTTCAGCCACCTAACCTGGACATGACACCACGGGGAAGAATACATCTTTCCTCTCCTTCCTGCTCTGATGAGGTCCAGCAATGCCTTTCCTCCTCCTCCAGAACAGGCACCGTTAGTGTGGACAGACCTCTTTGTTGACTGAACCGATTTCTCCCACATCCCACCCAGCTTTTCTTTCACTCAGAGAATCTGTAGGACAAAATCCAGGTGTGGGGCATCTTCTTGGAGGACACGCTGCTCATCCGGCTGATGTTTAGAGATGCAAGGAGTCAGCCAAGGTTTGAGCTGTGCTGCAGCTGGAGATATTTGTAGCTTGGATAGATGGAGTAGAGCCCAGAGGAAGGTGCTTGCTGGGGCAAAAAGAGCTTGCCTGTGTGGTGAGGAGATATTCAGGGGCTGGTGGGCACTCAAGTTTTGCTGTGCAGCCACGCTGTGTGTGGCACTGCAGCTCCAACAGCTTTGTATCCCTCTTATAAGGAAAGGCTGAAGGAACTGGGCCTGTTCAGTCTTGAGAGGAGATGGTTGAGAGGGACCTCATCCACATCTGTCAGTGTCTGCAGGGAGGGGGCAGAGCATGGACCAGGCTCTGCTCAGGGGTGCCCAGCAATGGGACAAGAGGAACAGGCAGGAACTGATGCCCAGGAAGTTCCACCTGAATGTGAGGAAGAACTTCTGCACTGTGCAGTGACCGAGCACTGGAACAGATTATGCAGAGAGGACATGGAGTGTCCCACACTGGAGACATTTCAGGACTGCCTGGCTGCAATCCTGTGCCATACTCCCTCACTGGAGATATTCCAGAACTGTCTGGACACAATCCTGTGCCACGTGCTCTGGGGTGACCCTGCTGGAGCAGGGAGGTGGGACCAGATGAGCCACTGTGGAGCCTTCCAACCTCACCCCTCCTGTGACTCTGTGACCTCCCTCTCCCATCAGAGGTGCCTCCTGTGTCTCAGCAGGCAGTGCTGCCAACTTGCTACCTCTGGAAGAGGTTCCAGCTTTTGATGTTGGATTGTCCTTGCCCTACAACCCTTTGTGTCGTGTTCCCTGCAATGCAACACATCCATACCACAAATCGTGTGATAGCTGGAATAACTGGCGTGTCTTAGGTTCCATGTCCTAGGATGTACATCTTATTTGCCTTTTAGGGATGTTCATTTTGACTGAATCTGCCTCTTTTTTTTTTCTTCTTGGACACCCCTTGTCAGCCTTGCCCCCTTGTATTGGCTATTCAGGCTCGTGCTAGATCCATGCTAAATCCAGACTATGTGGGTGATAATCACCCATTGTGCCTCCT